GCCTCTTTGCTGAGGGCTCGGCGGGGAAGCGGCAGCGGCGGCAGCAGGTACCGGGCGGCGGGAGGACACGGCGGGAGGGCACGGCCGCAGGGCACGGCCGCGCTCCCGGCGTGCGGGGAGGGCTCGCGGGCCGCCCTTGCAGCGGGCGGCAACGGGGCCGCGCGGGACGGGCCTCCGGGCGCCGCCACCCGGGGCGGCCCCGCCGGCGGCTGCTCCGGGCTGATGCAAGACCGCGGCCGCCTCAGGAAACCGCTGCGCTTCCACCGACACCGGGAGTCTGTTTTCCCCCCCTTACGATGCGCCTTCCCTGGGATTCCCCCGTGCCTCGCTCTGCTGCTCATCAGAGCAGGTTCCTCTGCACAGCTTGGCTCCAGAAGCCTCCAGAATTCCCAGCCTCCTATTCCTCACAACTAACGTCCCACACCTTGACTAAAACCCTCCGGCCTCGCCACCAAACTCGTGCAGGGCACGGAGGGGATAAATCCCTTCCAAAGCCTCCGATTAACCTTCATCTTCCTGGAGGAAGAGCCGGCTCCAGCTGTGYGGCCTGTGATTCTGTCTGCAGAAACGTACCCGTCTCATAGCAGACTGATGAGGCTTCCATCTCTGTCCTGCTTTCACACTGGGAATGCCTGGAAAACATCCCAAGCCAGGGCGGTTGGCGACAGCGTTATCTGCTCGCCCGTGGAGGTGTGTCAGGGGGCCATGGTGCTGCAGACCAATTATATTTAAGGAGTTCAGTAAGTTGTAATCGTGGTTGGTGCAATTAATCTGGATTTCTGCCATTTTTTTTCGTGTGCAAAGAAGTGTTTGACCTTTTATTTGTAAAATCGTTGTATGATGGTCTTGAAAAGTATTAACACTAATGACTAATATTTAACAACATTGACAATAGCTGGTAAAATGCCCAGAATTGAGAAACTGCAAATATTCCCTGCTGGAAAGGAGATGATTGATGACTCCTAAGGATTTCAAGCGCCTAGCTGACTTCTGTAAACGTGGAAAATAATATTCTGGCTTTGCTTATGAGTGAGGAGTGGCAATCTAATGTAGGAGGAGTCTGCAGAAAAAATTGCCTCTCTGTTTAAGGAGATGCATCCTGTGTGCAGTTCTCTTCCAATACAAATTCAGTATAAACCTATGACTGAATATTTGTGTCTCTGCAAGCAGCCTAAAATAACAGTCTCCCAGTGTAAACTTTTCCTGCATTTCACTGCTACTATTTGGTAGGTATCACTTGGTTAAATTTTACAGAGTACTTTTTATTACTAGGTAGTACTGCAGAATACAGCTGGGGCTCCTTAGATCCTTTTGTAGAGGGGAATAGAGAGAAAATACTAAGCATACCTCACACTCAGGTTTTCTTACATGATTAGTTATAGCAAATGTGCTAGAGATCCTAACYAGACAAATTGTCCAACCCATTAAATTCTTGTCCTCCTTCACAGATAGAGCAGTGCGAGGAAGGGAGCTGGCTGCATTTGTGTGGATTTGTGTTTCAGCTCTTCCAAACCCCACTTGTCACCTCTTCCCTCTTTATGAGAGGGTGGGAAATCAGCGATAAGTTTCCTTCTTGGTGCCAATTCCTAGTCATTTTATCACTGTTGTTTCCAACTGCAAGGAATCACAAGCTCTCCTCTGTCCAGCTGCCAGGAAGCCGTGGGGAAACAGCAGGAGCGCTGCGCACTGCCGAGAGGATTGCAGCACAGAGCCCTGCAAAGGGGGCAACAGTGAGGCTAGAAACTTTGCTAGCAAACAGAATAGATTGGAGAAGAGAGGCTGTGCCAGCGTGGCTTTCAGTTCCTTCCCGTGCAGCTCTCTCAGGAGGAGAGCTCTTTGTTCAGGTACACGATGTTTCCAGCTTGCTGCCGTGGTGTAAGGGAAAAYGGGCTCTGCTTCAGCCTCATCTTCAGCTTGATGGTGACCTTACAAAGGAGGCAGTGTTTGGTTGTTGGCGTACTCACCTAGCATGCTCTCTCCCTGCTCTTATATTTTTACGAGCAGGAACAGGACCAGTAGAATAACCTTTCCTCAGYGGTCTTTCTAACTCCTTATAGACAGAGATTCTCATCTTTCCTGGGTTAGAGCTTTTCCAGCACTGAAATGGTGCAGAACTCTGCTGCAAAGCTTCCAGATGTGCTGCCCCAGGGTTGTGTATTTATAGTTGCTTTTTAAGACTATACCATAATTTGATGGTCATATCACAGGGTTGTAGATGCTATCTGTATTTCATTGTAAAATATATTGTAAAATATGAAAAGATTATTGCATCTTACCTAGCTCCCCTCCCTACTCCCAAATTAGRTAAACTTTCTGCAGAAAGAAACAGAAGCAGTAGTCATGTAGTCTGGGAGTATTAGTTTTACTCTTTAGTGAATGATTACTGAATTTGAGTTAGACCGTGGTTGTATTCTCCTTTTGAAGGCTCATTGACTTGGTCACTTTGAAARGGCGGATAAAGGAGAAAAAAATGCAGTAGCAGTCCATGTGACTGGCATATTCCTGAGAATTTCTCTCAGGAAACCCTGCACCTCAGATTATCCTTAGATGTTGATAGTGTAAGATTATGTGGTCAGGGGGAATCACTAAATTTTCTGTAAAAATATTATGTGCTATAAAGAGTAATTTATGTAGAGACAGCACTGTTTTAACACTGAGAACACAGTTTATGTAAAAGCTTACAAGTTTTACTTCTTAAAGCTGACCACAGATTAAAAGTGGCTTAACCTTTATCAAATTTGATTAGTGTTTACCATCTAAATGTTATTCAGGTCAGATGCTTCTCACAGTATGTTATTTAATTTATGATTTTGTGTCGGGCTTTCACTTGAGGAAACTTTTCTTGTTGTTTGAAAGGCACTGCAGTAGCAGTACAAGAAGTCTGATGAGCTTAACTTTTATTCTCACTTGAATGTAGTTTCTGTTAATAGTCTTAGATTTAGAGACTGCAAAAGGAACAGTTGTAGGTAAAATTATGACTAGTTCACAGACTTGCTGAGTCAAACATTTTAACCTTCTTTATACTGCTGTGAGTGTACATTAAAATATAAAAGATCTTATTTGATTGTAGTGTACTGCATTAATTTGTATTTCATACAAGCTTTCTTAATTGAGTTGCAAAGAAGTTGAGAAACCTGTTATTGTGGCAGTAAAAGCACTTTAATCACGTCATACATTTCTTCAAAAAAGCACTAAAGCTAATTATTAACTTCTTTTTTTTCTTCTTCTGTAACAGTGCACCTGAAGTCAACATGTTTTCCAAGCTAGCCCATTCCCAGACCATTGCTCTTCTCTGCCGGGGTGTTCATGCTTCCGTGAGTTCCGCTACCTCCGTCGCCACTAAAAAAACCTTCCAAGGACCCCCATCCTCTGAGTACATTTTTGAACGCGAGGCTAAATATGGTGCCCACAACTATCACCCACTGCCCGTTGCTCTGGAAAAAGGAAAAGGTATTCCCTGCAGGGGACATGTGGTGTCTGCATAAAGCTTTTGGCCTCAGTAATTCCTGCCTGCCTTCTTGTAGATTGAGGTAATGGATGAAGTGAAGGCCCTTATCAAAGACCTGCATCATTGCACATAAGGCTATCTGGAAAAAAAAAAAACACCTCTCTAAAATAATTTACCTAAATGGAAATCTGAGAACTTTGTTAATTCAGAATAACTCATTATTAGTTTCAAGGAACTTTGCTTCTTCCTTCATCTTGCTTGTGTGCAAAATTTCAACTTTGAAGTGAACGTGAAATACTGTTATTACCCTTACCTTTTAGTCCTTGTGTACTCTTGTTGTCTTCTAACTTAATTTCAATTTAGTCTAACTTTTAACCACATTTAAATGTCTTTTCTGCTCTGCAGATTAGCCTCTCTTAGCTTTCACAAAAATGCTATTGTTCATGAGCACAACAAGTTTTGATTCTTCAGATCTGTCAGTCTCTTAAATTCTGACATCACTCAAACTCTTCATGACCTCTGTTACTTACTCAGAGTTCTCTTGTAGCGGTAATCTCCCTATCATCTTTTCAGGACTCAAAGCAGGAACTCTGAGGAAATGTAATTGCACTGCTTGCTAATTTAGAAAAATGGTTTCTGTATAGGGTTTGTAGGTATCTTTATATAACTGCTTCTTTCCTTGATTCCTGTTGGGCACTTATTTATACTATACTAGCTTCTCACTTACGCTGTTCTTCTCAGCTGATTGATTCCCAGTTAAGAGTGCCTACTGTAGACATACCTTTCAGATATATCCTAATGAATAACAAAAATATAAGTTATATTTGAGTAGGTTGCTCTGTATCTCTTAGCTTATACAGTTAGTATTAGCCCATGTTGTCTTTTATTTTGTGCATTCACCTTACCTTTGTTTTTTCAGGTGTTTATGTGTGGGATGTCGAGGGCAGAAAATATTTCGACTTTCTGAGTGCTTACAGTGCTGTTAATCAAGGCCACTGTCATCCAAAGATTGTGAGTGCTCTGAAAGCTCAGTCTGAAAAACTGACCCTTACCTCCAGAGCATTCTACAATGATGTACTCGGTGAATATGAGGAGTTTGTCACCAAAATGTTCAATTACAACAAAGTTCTTCCAATGAACACAGGTAAAAAAGTAATTTTTGCCATTTTATTTCTGGTCTGTGAGAGCCAGCACTTGTAATGTTTGGTCCTGCCTCAGTTGGTCTGTTTCACGTAACAATATCATAATGGTATTGCTTTATGTTTCAGGAGTGGAAGCTGGAGAAACTGCCTGTAAGCTGGCTCGGAAGTGGGCGTACACTGTGAAAGGAATTCCAAAATACAAAGCAAAAATTCTTTTTGCCGGTATGTTAAGTGAATGATGCAAACTGTGGTAATAAGACGAAAGAGAGTTCTAACTACTGGCTATAACACTGTTCTCTCCTTTGACTGTTGGGATTATAATGGAGCATTCCTAATGTTTGTATGTTTTTTTTTTCTTTGACTGAAGGTCTATGTAAAATGTGATCCTCAAAGTCTTGGCAGCATGAGCTAAGATCCCAAGTTTTTGAAAGGTTTGTTGTGCCTGCAGTTGGTGATTCTGATTAAAAACTACTTCTGTATCTACAACAGTCTTTACAGGACCTTAAGGTTCTGAAAATACTTTCTTCTAAATTGTGAAGTTCAGTCTGAAATGTAACCTGTTACATTTTTTAGCGTAATATTATGCATATAGTTCTTGTTATTTGAATCTGTTAATACCAAATTTAATCTTAAATTGTTAAAGTGAATTGTAACCCCTGTGGTGGTATTTTTTTGTTTTGATACCTTCCTTGTGAACTGAATAGTCAAATTACTGCTAGCCCCACAGTAAATTCTTCAGTTGGAAAAACTCTGCTTCTCTCTAATACTCCAGAAGTTGGCCTTATCCTAGTAAAGGCACATTGTAATCTTGATCTTGCAGTGAGGGTAGCAGTAATTTTGGTAAACTTAATGTGGCAATATGGAAAGTCCTTATTATGGGTGCAGTACTTCCTGCCTCTGTGACTGAAGAGACCATTGTGTTTTGCTAAAAAATAAGTTTATATATTGATATTCTTAAATTCAGTATTTTTTATTTATAGTTTTTTTTTTAAATCACATCTACTATTGCTCAATGCTTCTTAGTCTTAGAAAGATTCCAGAATAAATCTGATGAAATCCTGATTTCTGTTCTCTATAGCTGCCAGGACTGATTCTGATTCTTGGTACCCACAGAGGCTGAGCAATTAACTGGCATTAGATAGTACTTAGACTGCATTAGATAGTACTTAGACTGAAACTCAGAGTTAAATAGTAGACTGTGTTTTCTAGCACCAATCCCCAACCAAAGGACTCCTTTAAACAGATATATTTCTTCCTCTTTCTTATTAGTTAACTTTTGCTCATTAGGAAGCTAATATTTAATCAATGATTCTCCATCTTGATAATCTGGAGATGCAATCATTTCTTATGATGTCATCCCCTTAACCATAACATTTAATTAATTGGAAATTGTTGTAAACCTCCTCGTGTAAGAGCTCAGCATTTTGGGGTGAAAAAGGCTCTTTTGGGTAGCTTGAACAAATAAAAAGAAGGCTTTAAACATCTGCCCAGGGAATGTCACATAAATGCTGTGCTGGGCAACGGGTCAGTGCAGAGCCTGGCGTGCAGAAGTGTCAGCAGCCTTTGATCAGTAGCTCCATTGCTAATTGTTTTTGGAGCTCTCCAGCCTTCTGGYGTCTTGTAACTCTGGAGAAGAAGATGTTGACATCATTTCTTAAACATCATTCTTAATAAAAACTTTATTGATTAGCAGAAAGTACACTGCTTTGAATTAAAACTTAATTTTGAATTAAAACTTAATGGAAGGGTTTATTTTTATTGTTATTATTTAAACTTCTAAATTCAAAGTGGTATTTACTTTCTTCCTGCATGTAATGAGGATTATTTAGGAAAGTCCTACATATTTTTCTGAAAAGAGATGTTATCTGCCTGCATTATTTTCAGTGTCTCAGATTACTGAAAAGCTTACAGAAATTTTGTGTACTTGCCAGATCATATAGTATAATTTTCTCTTGCTTTTCTACTGTGCTTTTAATATAGCAAATATGTGATGCTATGTGCAAATAGGCTTTTATAAGCAAATTTTTATGTGCAGGTATGCTTTTAATATGATCTTTTTGTAGGATTAATGCAAAATGCTGACAATTGACAGAAGGATGCTCATGTTATACAACTCCTAAAATACATGACCAACTGGAAAGTGTGGTTTTAATTACTTTATAAACTCTTTTAGTTCTCAGTTTTGTATCATATGGCTGCCTGTCAATGGTCTTAGTTGAAAATGTGCCATAACTTTGTTGGCTAAATGCTCAATAATTATCTCTTTTTTTCTAGCTGGCAACTTCTGGGGCAGAACGATGTCTGCTATCTCTAGCTCTACAGACCCCTCCAGTTATGATGGCTTTGGACCCTTTATGCCAGGTTTCGAAGTCATCCCATACAATGACCTACCAGCTCTTGAGGTATTCTTTTTCTCCTCTTAATAAATCATTTTACACTGTCTTTTCAGTAAATATCAAAGGAGCATAATTGAAAACTCTGTCCCTTGAAAAGAACAGTTAAAAATACCTACCTAGATGCTTAAGAGAAATATGCGTATTATAATTTCTTATAGGAAATGTATGCGAATTATGTGTTAGTTTTGATGTTGCTTCATAATATAAAAGGAAAACCATGTAGTGTGTTCTATCTCTCACATCATTAAAATGTTCCAAGCATAATTGAAGAACAGCAAGTGTCTGAATTGTATTACAGTTAAGTAGACAACATTCCAAAGTTTGAACCTGGATTCTGAAACTAAATCCTTTGAATCGTTGAATTTCTTGGCTCTCCTCGACCTCTAAGCCTTTTGAGTCTTGGTGGTGCAAGACTCCATGTGTAAACTTTGCTCTGAGATGACAAAACTGTTCTGGAGAGGCTCCATTCTTTTTTCCTGAAGGTTAGCTGGGGTAGCATTGAGCAATTGTTTGCCTTGTATGGGGTAATGCAAGCTGAGTGTAAAGCTATGAGCTGATCTGATAATCTCCTTGTCTAGGTTTGCAGTTCTTAAGGTTCTAATTTCCTGAGCAAGCACAGCAGCTAATCTTTCAAAACAGATAGTGACATTAGCCTCTGTGTTGCGACTGAAATGTCGCCAATGCTGCTCATGCCATTATGACCCTTTGAGATTGAAAATCAGGTTTAAAGCTAGATTCAACTACCTATATTCATCTCCATATATATATTTTTAATTACATTTGAATAAAATTTCTTATTCTCTCCTTCCTCCTGTGAACCATTCTTTTTCAGCGGGCACTTCAGGATCCCAACGTAGCAGCTTTCATGGTTGAACCAATTCAAGGTGAAGCAGGTGTGGTTGTTCCTGACAAAGGGTACCTCACAGGAGTGCGGGACCTCTGCACAAAGCACAATGTAAGGAATTCACTGTGACAAGGGGGCTTAAAACTACTGGCTCTGTTTACTGGCCTACGTTTGCAAGCCATAGGATTTGATACTCCCTTTAATAATATCCTCTCCTTTCAGTGGAATAGGGTAGGGATAGCTCCTGGTAAGTTGTTACCAGAGAATACAATAGGTGTTTCTTAGCAATGCTCCTTTTCCCTGCTACCCACCTTCTTACTACTGTCTTATTTACTGTGTAGTAAGAAACTGTAGTTCAGTAGTACAGTCACCTCATGGGAGTTCTTGAAACTACATTTATTCAAAACTATTTTAGCTTTCTTTTTAACATGTTATTTTTCTTGAACCAGAAGGCAATTACAGTGCTGGTTCTACTATGACTATCATAACGGCTACCAAGAGTTAGTTACGGTGCTGGGTCACTGCATGAAACACTAAAGGAAACGGTTGGGTACTTGTGAGGGCTCTTTCTAGGTCTCTGAGAACACAGATCTCTGTAGATTGTTCTTCTGTTTTGCATTTTCTTGCATTCATATCACACTAATGAGCCATATTCTGTTATGTTCCGGCTAAATTCTAGTATGATATGTTTCATTTTGAAAATTGGGAATTAATATGTAATTATTATCCTCTTATCCTACTATCCTCTTCAGGACACACTGAAATAGACTTGGGTTCAATGTCTCTGGAAGTGGAAAAAATGTGTTTATTTGTATTTCTCTGTCCTTCAGTTCTCACTGTTTATTGCTTCCTAAGCACACTGCCTTCCCTTCTTATTTCAGGACCAAGTTGGTCAGCTTCTCCTCCAGGCCTAGGCCATTTCCTTTGTAAATGTAAGACAAAAGGTCTGCCAACCTTGGACTTTTTATTGTCTTAATAAAGCTTTTGTTCCAGTAGAACTTCTTGATTCTTAAATTGAACGTGCTACCCATAAACCCTTCCAGATTTCCAGAGGAAGATATGAAAATACAATCAATAAAATTGGCTTCCACTTACCTCTCATGAAAAATAAAAGATATCTTTATAAATGATACCACATGACAGTAGTTTGCAATTTAGGGAAAGGCAATCAGAAACTTGGACCTAGATTCTAAACACCACACTACAAAATCAGCAGTCACTAAAATTGCCTTTTCTAGAAGATTCTCAAGTTCAACTTACTAGTGATGTACTGTGACTCRAGACAGGCAAATTCTACATTCTTGGAAACGCCACTCACTGCTGTATTGCAAATGATTCTGTTAGAATAGATTCTGTGGTGTTTGCCTTGTGTAGAACATATCTTTATATTTTCTGTATGTGACTCTGCAGGATTGTTTATTGCTTTGGTGAAAGATCATGGTCAGAATCAGATATGGAAATGAAAGTTGTTTTCTCTTACATGTGCATTTTTTCTTTTTGTCTCTATAAAGGTTCTATTTATTGCTGATGAAATACAGACTGGTCTAGCCAGAACGGGGAAAATGCTCGCTGTTGACCACGAAGATGTGAGACCTGATCTAATTCTTCTTGGAAAGGCCCTTTCTGGTGGCTTATATCCTGTGAGTAATTTTTAGTTGTTGATATTGTAAGCCTACAAGTTGGAAGATAAAACAACCAAACTCCTTGCATGTTGCTTTTGAGAAGCGGTGTTCACAAGAATTAACTGTGATTTAAGATCCACCTAGTCCAGCCTGTGAAAGGCACATGTAAGAATAATGGAATATGTAACATTATGTTGTAGCTAAAATGTCTGTATACTATGGTGAACTTTCTGTATTGATACTCTTTTTAGCTAGCATGGTAAGTTACTAGATCATCTTCTTAGGTTGCTAGGGGGTATTTCTTTTCTTTGTCTATTTTTAACTGTTGTTACTCGAATTAACTTGGTATATCATGTGACGAATTTCTAGATGAATTTTGAAAATGGAGAGAAAATATTAAAAGCTTATTTCTGAACAAGTAACATTGTTTTACTTGTTCGAGGTGCTCACATTATTTTTCCTTTTAATCCTCTTAGTAAATTCCTGCTGATTAGGCCAGGAGTTAAAACCTGACCTGAACTATTTTGGCCAACTGAAGCTCTGAGTTCATAAACTGCATATTGAATCTTATTTTTGAAATAGTATTCTGTTTGACAAAATGCTTCTCAGCTGTTCTTAGAGGTCATATATTGTATGCTATATTGTATGCTTAGCTTTATAGCTAAGTGTTTGCAGGGTAGGGTGGGATTAGGCTCTTGTGTGATTGTCAGATACGTGTCCCACTATACAGAGTTGGAAATTTAAATGGAATTCTCAGCTTGTGTGATAAATCCCAATAAATGAAGTAGCTGAACTTTCCATTTTAGGTCTCAGCAGTGCTGTGTGATGATGAGGTTATGCTGACCATTAAGCCTGGGGAACACGGATCCACGTATGGAGGAAATCCTTTAGCTTGCCGTGTGGCCATCGCAGCCCTGGAGGTTTGTGTGCTTGGGTGCCCAAGGAAGCAGTGTAATGCTGCCACGATCATAGTTTCTTAGCTTAAACAAATGSTAGTTTTAGTTGTGCTGTAAATAGAAATCTAGCTTTTGGTAAGAATGGAAAATTGGCAGTGATTGACTGTCTGCAKTTGTATTACATAACAAAGCAGATTCTAAGATCTTAATTGGAATTGTGTTCCAATTTCTGTTTTGTTGTTCTAATGTCTTAAATGACAAAAATGTTCCAGGGAAGATTTCAAGGTACTTACTTAAATACAGTAAGATAATTCACTAAGACACTCCTAAGTTGATTTATTTTACTATACCATATAAAAGAGGCTGCTGCTCTGTGAGCTTGATAACACATGTACTGCTGGAGCTCAAACAGAAGCTAGTAAAATACCTTGTCAAGAATCCATATCYTAATCATTTTGTAACTTCATAATCTTATTTAATGCAAGTCACTCCAAAAGCCTCATATATTAGCCAAGTATATAGACTTGGACAAACTCACAGATAAGAAAACCTCAGGTTGGACATTTGCTTGTAAATAAGGACAAATAAAAGCCAGTAAGTATGAAATAAAAACTCAGGGAGATTTATGTTTCTGGTAAACATGAGAGAGCGCAAAGTCTTGATACTTGTCAACTGGAAAGTGCAGCCTTCGCAGTGACACTGAGGTGAAACAGCTTGTTTAATGCCTAATATCGTTATGTAGAGTGTTGGAAAGGATGAGTAAAACAAATGCACTGCCTGTCAGCTGATTGTAGCTCTAACTTCCTCCTAGGTAATTGAAGAAGAAGACYTGGTCAGAAATGCAGAAGTAATGGGTAACATACTGAGAAATGAGCTCATGAAGGCACCATCGGATATTGTGACCTGTGTAAGAGGAAGAGGACTATTAAATGCAATTGTGATTCGGGAAACCAAAGGTAAGAAAATAAAATCAACAGAATCATAGCATGAAAAAATAAGGTTTTAAACTTAAATTGAAGATATCTTTGTACAGTAGAGTCCTGTGTTTTTGCCACTGTGTTTGGTTTCAGATCTTGGCTGTAATACTGTAGTTCTTACTGAAAGTGTGTCAGGTGTCTATGTCTTATTAAAGTACTTATTTTATTCCCAAATTAAATATAGTTTTTTTTTTTTTAATTATAATGTTTAAATTTGATGGTGAACATGGCTGCCAGGAGGTATTTTTTTTTTTTGCCTGAGGAAAATTGGACTTGCCATGCCTGGAAAGCTAAGGTTTGTCAGACTGTAGAAGGATGGGCTTTCTGGAATCACAGGCATCTGCTTTGCTGCCCAGGTTGTTTATACCAGGGGAGTTAGAACAATCTAATGAATACAGTAAAGGAAAAGGAAGGAAGAAGACAGTGACTAAGAAGAGGTTTCTAGGGATTAACACCTTGAATTACACCACGAARTGACTTAAAAGCTAGAGCAGACATTTATTTTTGTCAGAAATATGCTAAAAGTGACAAAGTGCTGCAGGGAGATGTAACTTCTTAAGAGATGCATGTGATGCACACAAATTCAAGCATAAAAGCAGCCGTATTGGAAGTCCTGTTGCGATTTCCTCTTGCCTCCCCTTTGCAGTGGTTGTTTTCTTACTGCACCTTGCTAGATCTGCACACCATTCTGCTGAGAAAGAGCAAAACTCCGTGTGCTGGTGGCAGCCTCTAAGTCCCTTCAGACAAAGCACAATTTAGCAGCTGTCTCACCTCTTCCACTGCTGCTTGTGCCTGGGGAGATGTTCAGRACCGCCTGCCATCCTTATGAGGAGGAACATCCTGTATTTAACCTTTTCATTGCCACAGAGGAAGCGATTTGCCCATCCCATGCACTACAGCTGTGCTGCTGATTCAACTGTAACGGAAGCATCTCTTTCTTTTTCCCCTCCCTCCTTCTTTTCTTCCCTCCCCTCTCCCTTTCTCCCTCCTTTTCCTTTCCCTGCAGACTGTGATGCCTGGAAGGTTTGCTTGCGGCTCCGGGACAACGGCCTGCTTGCCAAACCCACCCACGGCGACATCATCCGCCTGGCACCGCCGCTCGTGATTAAGGAGGATGAAATCAGAGAGAGCATTGAAATAATTCATAAGACCATTCTGTCCTTCTGAACCCTCTTCAAGTATCTCTGCTGACTGATCCAAGGTGGTGTGTTCAAATACATGCTGTGGAGGCCGCTCTTGATGCAAGCATCTTTCCTTCCTTTTATCAAAGAGGACTTAACTCTCTAAAATTTAGCCATGTCTTTTAATTATATTTGATCTGAGGAAAATATATCATGATTCCAAAGAGCTTCCGATCTTGAAATGTGTGGAAATGATGAGGTTCTGTTCACTGGTCACTTGGGTCAGAATATTTGAGGAGAGATGTATGTAGAAAGCTGTTTAATTATTGAAAGTCTTGCCCAAAGTTTAAAAAGTAATTTATATATATTTTAGTAAGAGTGGTTATGCACTCTCACAGAGTTCTCCAAAACTTTATATTTGACAGTTTTGCACCTTGGCAAGATGTCAGAAGCACTTGTCATTATGGTTGAATTTTTGTTTCTCATTTGTAGCTAGAAAAACCTTCTGACACAGAAGGTGTGACAAGCTGGATGTTGTGCTGGTGAGCTGAGGTGCATCAGGTTATGTTCTGTATGGAAAATATTTTAATTGTGTAACATGAGTTGCTGTTTTCAAGCCTGTTCGCAGTGTTTAGCTTTACAATCTGTAAAGCAGATCTGAGTGTACAGATCTGTCTTCGTGGCTTTAAAACTTTCTATAATCTACATATTTGCATTAAAATATACGTTGCATTAAAACAATTAATGTGTAATTCAAATCAACAGCCTTTTGAAAAGGAGTGARCCCGCCAGTCCCACAGTAGCTGCCAGCCAGAGCCCCGTCCAGCAGCGGTACCTTTGCAATCCCTGTGTTTCTGTCCGTTGTTACCCTCGAGCTTCTGCTGTGCTCTTTTTTCAGGATTGGTGCTTGTGCACCCTCGTGCTTTTGGCTGCTGCCCACGTGGAGGTGGCTGCTATTCYTGCACCAGGCTGTTGCTTTATATTTATTAGCTGAGTGAGTTTCTGAACGCTGTGGTTATGCAGCATAGTTCCAATTATAACTGAATGAGAAACTGAAAGAAACCTTAGTGTAATCAGCAGCTGCAGCAGGCCTTTCAGAAAGCAGGAGCTAGAGTCCCATCCMAAACCCTTCGCAGCCGAAAAGGTGACTTTTATAGAATGATAGGGCTAGCAAGGACCTGAACTTGCTGCTTCTGCTATGCTTTAAACTCGCTTTTTACTCACTAAACTCACTGTCCACCAGGACCATGGAGAACAGGTATTTCCTCTCTATACAACAGTCTTTTCGCATACCTACAGGTTGTTTTTATTCCCACTTCAATCATTTCTCCTTCCTAAGTGAAAACTTGCTTCTGTCCTGATAGGTAACATTTTATAGAGCCCTTAGCTCTATATGCTCCAGTGCTGGTCTCCAATGCTCCAGTGCTCCAGCTGCGTCCTCACTGCTGCTGAGCAGAGCAGGATTAGTTCCTGTCACTTCAATGCCCTCCTTGGTTTGTGCCCAGTATTGTGGTTCAGATTTTCCTGCAGGAATGTGGTATTTTTTTTCTGTGTTCAGCATATGCTCCCAGACTCCCTTTTACACCAAGTGGTCTCAGCAGCATTGGGGATGGTTTCCCCCACAGTTTTAACTTGTGCAATAAGCAGGAAAAATGTGTGTGTCAAATTCTGTGGTGCTCCTGCCTATTTATTTTTACCCTCAAACTGTTTTTCTGGCTTCTGGGAGTTGCTTTGGTCTCTGCTCTTGTTGCCCTACCTGCTTTGTGGTTGGAGCTTTACCAGCCAAGGGCTGCCCAAACTCGCCAAATTCCTCCTTCGCAACAGAGCACTGCTGGCTGATTTCTGGGCTCTCCAGTCATCCYATGGATGTTTCCTGAATCCCATCCCCTTGGCAAACATAGGAAATCAACACGTGTAATGTCTTAAATGCTCTTATTTAATATCTAGGTAATCGAGGCATCTCCATTCACACGGCGAAGGCCCCCGAAGCTGCAGACAGGTTGATAGCACAATGCTACTTGCAGGGCGGCCTGTGGCTCTTGCCTGGATGTTAACGTGGAGGTGGCTGGATCTGCCCCTGGGAGCTGGCTCCGGACAAGGGCATCCCCACGGACACCCTGCCGAGGGGCACATGCTCTTCTTCCACCTCCAGAACARCATCATTGCGGGCATAGCAGTAAAGGGCTGGCAAGGGATTTTTGCTCGTTTGGCCTAATTGCAGCCTAGCTGTCAGAACAAGCATGGAATTGCATCTATTGCTTTGGGAGCGAAGGGCAGAACCTTGAGCTTGCTGTCCAACACGGTAACTGTCCCGCAGCCAACGTCCACTTCAGCAACCACCCGAAACGTCCTTCAGCGCCCGGTGAGAGRGCGGGAAGAGCTGGGAAGGCCCAAGGAAAAGTTGGAACTGCCTCCCTGCCGCTGGTGATGCTCTTAGAGAGGGATCTGCCTTTGCCAGGTCACGGGCTTTAGGGAGGGAGCAGGCAAAAGAAAGGTTCCCTTGATCGTGTAAAGTGATTTTTGTGATCTTTAAGCAAGCACGTAATGAGTGGGATTTGGCTGCTTTTCAGCAGTGCTGCTTCCAAACTCAGCTACAGCTGCTCATATAACCCATGTTCCTGTAAATCGGTCTCTGCTTTTGTTGTCTGGGATTTTAATTAGCCTTAGAAATTTTCTTCGGGGCTTTTATTACTGAAAAAATGTAGACGGCTGAAGTGCCTTTACCTGCTTAGTGCCAGAAACGCGGCGCTTGGGGGTTTGTGCTTGTTTTACATATTGCTCAAGTTCATAATGGCTCTGCTGAAAGTTTCAGGCAAAACTGAAGATCATTTGCAAAGTAACATAATATATGCTCTGAAATGTGCAAAGAAAATACACAGGCTATTTCATAAAATATTGAGACTGATTTTTTTTTTTTTTACCATAACTAGAAGAAGCAGAGAAATGAGAGAAACAAGTTGAGCAAATGCCCTTCCTGCATCTTCCCAGGACTATTCCCAGTGTTTCTTTCTTTGTGTTAATGATGACTCTGTGGAAATGACTTTTCTTTGTTAATGCTTTTTTCCTGCTATAATTTATATATATATTAAAAATGAAAATGATAACTTGAAAGACCCGAATATTGAAGCAGATTACTTACCCTAATGCTCTAGGTTTCTTTAACAGGAGCTACACAGCATTAACATCTTCCAAAGCTATATCTGCAAAATATTGCTTTAAGGTCTTGTTTGTGAAAGGCTCATCTCTCTAYGTTTTATTGCCTGCATTTATTTCTGCAGAGTAACTTTGGATATTTGTTTACATCAGGTATGGTATGTGAAATGCTTGTTTAAACGAGCAGTGACTCTGCATTGAGTGGGAGGTAACGTGGATTTCAGTGGAGGGTTTCTTTGCAGGAATAATGCCCAGTTGTGCTAGGGGCACTTTGGCAAGGGAAGGGTGCRTATTTTTTTGGCATGAAATGATGGAATATATATACCGTCAGGAAAAAAAATGCTCTGTTTCTGCATAAACTTCAGTTCTAAAGGCACTCTATGTAACAGTGAAGAGAGGGAAACGGGTAACGGGGAGCTAGGAAACATAACACAAGTTTTCCAGCAGCCCTGGGAAACATGCTTGTGGCATTGTCCTTTATCTGGGGATCTTCTCAGCCTCAGAAACATGGATTTATGTCATCAGACAGTATTTTCTAAAGTTAAAACTTACTAAAATAAATTGCTTGCTTTAAAGGAATTAAACGCCTACTGGTCATGACCTGGTGAAGAACTGCACATCTTGAACCTGTTAGAAGTTTCCGTGATGAAGCAATCTCTATTTTGTCTTTCAACAACAACGTTAGTGGTTTAGTTAAGTAGAAAAACATGCCTTAACTGTCTTTCATCTTTTTGGCAGGCGCTGTCGCTTGTTCACTCCTCATCTTTTCAGTCTTTTGGCAGCAGATGGAGCCAGAAGCTCAGCTTAATGCTTGAAACTCGCTCCTGGGCCCGTGTCACTCCTGAGGGTTTGTTTTCTGTCTTCACTTGTGCAGCACAAACTTTAGTCCCATCCCCAGGAACTACCTCAGTGTGCGATTTACAGCGTGTGATTTCTGCTTCGYTGGGGCTGTGAAAAGAATTCCTGTGCCTCTAGCGTGACAAATCCCCTGTAATTTGTAGCTGTCAAATGTGACTGATAGGGACGTGGGGATATCCAAGAAAGCAAAACAGAGGTTTTTCTTCTCAATGCGCTGAAGTAGAACGGATCAGAAAGGGGAAGGTTGAGAGGAAACGTTGAATGTTAGTTTAGATGAGGGAATTGCTTTGCAGGGGCCTCCCTGCAGTGCCACAACGTGGGGGGAGATGTGACCTGTTGGGGTTCCTGCGTTTGTGTGTCTGTGCTGAGTGATGGTGGCAGCTTGTAGTGGTGCTGGGGGGGCCACAGGGCCCCTCTGTGCAGGCAGGGGCAAGGAAAAAATGCACAAAATAATTAAAATGCTCCTCAGTTCTCTTTCAAATGCAAGTTATGTGATTTTACTTGCACATATAGGGCAGTCTTGCTGCAGCCTCGTGTGCTGAATGCTGACGTGGCCCACAGAAGACGAGACCGTCACGATGCCTTTTCGTTGTTGTGTCCCTGCGTGTCGTCTTGTGCTCGCTGGAGAACCCTGAACGGAGGCCCTGCTGGCTGGAAAATCCCCGCGTTGTTATTGGCRCTAGTCCAAACACGAGGAGAAACCACCTCCCACTCCCTCCTATGAAGTCCTATAAATTTCCTGTGATTTAGGCTATGTATGAAGGCCCTGAAGAGTCCTGACCTTTTGCATAGCACAGTAAACCAAACAGAGTCCTGGACCTTGGATGAACTCGCAGTCCTTCCCTAGGGCCTGACGCATGGGGGACCTAAACCTCAAGTTAGTTAATACCRTCATTCAGGATAGATGGGAAATGAGAACCCGGAAAGGCGGGCAGACTTACACCACTTACTTAACTTGAAATAGCAGAAAGGCTGAAAAGCAACATCTGGGTCTATCTTTCCAGCAGGGACTGAGAGGGGCAGTGCCAGTTAGGAGTGGTCAAGCTCCCAAAGATGCTGTGGAGGTTTCCTGAATGTTGGAAAGAGCCTTGAGACCTTACAGGGAGAAGAACCACACAAGCACTTACCATTATTAATAATTGTGGCTGTAGCTCATATTTATTTTCCTGTATCCCTGTATTATGTTTCATATTTTTTACCCTTAATGACAATGGGAGAGATGCTACTGTGCACAAATATTAAGCCTGAATTACTTGGTATTTCAGGACCTTTTTTTTTTTTTTTTTTTTTTTTTTAGGATATGTGAATGTCCCTGATGGAAGCGGAACATATGAAGAAAGCAGAAAGCTGAGAGTTTTGCCTGTTCTGCACTTTAGCAACCCCCCTTTTCTACCTTAAGTGACCTGTCAGCCCCTGCTTGCTGCCTGTAAATGATCATCCTTTTCCACAGCCCTTAAACACCATCGATAAGGTAATTTCCACAGGGACCCTCCAGCTCTGTCATCTCATGAGTGTACAGTTTATTTGTGGAAACCCATGAAGTGCTGTAAAGAGGGAGGAAAAAAAATGCCTTTACATAAACTGACACG